GGGAGAATAAAAAACATTGTAGAGATTTCTGACCCATCTCAAATGATCCCTTGTGAAATAAAAAGAAGAAAGCTTAGTTATGTTTAAGGATGAAGAGGATGGTGCGAAAAAAGATCTGAAATGATGAGGGAATTCTGTAAAGCAATATCCTGTACTCTGTGATAAATCTGAGTAAGGAAAAAAAAAGCAAAATGTAATGAAGCTAATCATGCCTAATTAACTAATCATGTATTCATTAATACTGAGAAACTTTACAAAGGTATGACAAAATGAATTCAATTAAGTGTAACAGGATGTTAAACAAGACTTTTTCTACCACCTCTGAGTTTTGACAGGAACATCGAAGGTTGAGAATAAGAGGTTCCAGGTACCACTCTGTTCTAAAGCAAAACGTTATTTGATCTGGCACAACATGTAAGGCAGCAGTTCAAATTCAGTTTAGTGCATGACTCCTTCACCCACACTCAGACTAAGAGAACAGAAGACTCCCGGGGATTGCTGAGTAAATGCTGCTGGCAGTGTAGGTTTCCAGGCAGAGACTGGATGCTGAAGGTCTAGAAAGCTACATTAACATGTGTTTCAAGTAATTCTAATTCTAAGAACATAGGGAAATTTAGATGAATGTGGTCTATGGGCCCCACTTTGGAAACAGTGAACTGAAACAAAGGCAGAAGTGAAGAAAGAAAACCGGATCTATTGATCCTGCCTCAGGCTTTGGACACAGAACTCCTGGAATCTTTTGAGACTTCTCAGATGATAGAAGCAGCTTTTGTTCAAATGAGGCAACTCTTGATGGGCTCCTGAATGACAGCTTGTTAACCAGCTTAGAAAGACTAAACCATAACAGAAGCTTAGAATTTTCTGCTCACCCCCAACTTCTGGGTATGGAAGGGAAATAATGGAGATTGTGTGAATAATCAGTTGTTGTCTCCACTAAAATCCCTAAACTGCAGAGTTTGGAGAACTTCCAGATTTGTGAACATCATCCTGCCTACCTCCTCATCTGACTGTTCATCTGTTTACTTTGTGATTTCCTTTATAACAAATGAACAAATGCAGTTAAATGCTTCCATAAATTCTGGGAGCCATGTAAACAAATTACTGAATCCATGGTCTTCAGGAACACCTGAAGTGGGGCAGTTAACTTATAGGATCTACCACAAATTCCACTAACTCCAGATCAGTGAATTAGATGGCTGGACAATCAGCAGATGTCCAAAGAATATTGAAATATTGAAAATTTGATGGTGTATAAAAAATACAGTAGGGAAAGAGTCTGGTTTTCTTTTACAAAAATATTGTAAGGGGAGAACTGATTTGATGATTGAGTAAATCAGGTTGGGGCTGGACAGGCTGGTCAAAGGCGTGTTTCAGAAAACTGGGCTAAACAAAAAGAAGGTGGCACTATGCAAAATGGTGACTTATTTTCCTTTTTGAGTTATTGTGTTAGGCCCCATGCATGCCAGACAAGTGCTCAACCAGGGACTAACCTACACCCTCAGTGCTAGAAAATGAAATTAAGTGGATAAGAGAGAAATGTAGATGTGAGAAAGTAATTCTAATGTGATAGGTAAAGTAGGTGATGGATGAATCTGGTTGATAGGGAGAAAGCAGCAGGACACAGATAAAACTCCAGCAGAATAGAGTTTATTAGCAAAGGAACACATGGGACAGATTCCCTTCTGGGCAGGGAAAATGTCTGCCCCTGGGTCATAAACTGGGATTTTTATGGGGGGGGGGCTTCTAGGAGGATGCAGAAGGTTGGACAGAGGACACAACACACAGGACTGTTAAAACCTGCCCTCCTTAGAGATCAAAGGGGAAACCTGCTGTGTTGGCCAAACATTGGAGAAAAGTCTGCTGCTCTTGACTTCAAAGACCAGGGTGCTTATTAACTAGGTTCCCTTTTCTCAGGGGCTTGCGAGGTCCCTGAGGCCCTGCTGGTGAGGGGGTGGGGTTACCTGAACCATAACATAATGCTTACACAAAAACCTTAGTGAATAATTTTCAAGACTTCTTCTAAGTAAGAGTCCCATTTTCTATCATTAAGCAAACTTCACTGTTGCTCAATTTCAGCATCAGGTGGGTGGTGGAGGTATGAAGGGGGCCAGTTATTCTAGAGCTCCTTGCATTATAATTAATGAAGAAAATAAGCTTCTATATTTGGGTTTGGGGTCTAAAACTAAAGTTACGGTTTTGGCAATAATAGGACATCCAAGACCCAGTTTATGCAGCCTGTGAAAATTTGAATAGAACTAAGGATTATCCAGCTCTAGCTGGTCAAAATGACAGCAGAGAGTGTAAAAATTGTTTCCAGAACTCAGTGTCTGACTTGCAGCACAGTGCCTTCTTGTTTAGATTAGAAATCTATTAACAATGGCTGTTTTTGCATAACTTGAAGATTGAATGATGGCATTCATATTTTAGCGTCACTGGCTATAACTTGAACAAAATTTCAGGACTTAATACACATTGATACACTCAAAATGTTTTAATACAATTATGCTGAAATGATCGACAGACAGTTTCTCTTAAATATTAAGTTCATATATCAACAACAGAATACAGAAAAAAATAAGTATTTTGGGTTTAAGGCTATCAATCCTGCTCTTAAAAATTAGAAAACATTTATGTGTATACACATATAATATGTACTCTATATAAGCTTATAAAATAATGTTTTCCCAGCAGGATGTGGTGGTGCATACTTTTAGTTCCAGCACTTGGGAGGAAGAGGCAGGCAGATCTCTATGAATTTGAGGTCAGCCTGGTCTACATAGTGGGTTCCAGGCCAGCTGGGGCTACAGGGAAACCCTGTCTCAAAAAAAGACCAATAATAATAATAATAATGTTTTCCCAAAGCGTTTTCAAACATTCGTGTTGTTTATCTTTCTTTCCTTTCTCTGCCTCTGATTACCCTCCCTCCCCCTCCTCAATGATAGCTACAAGCAATCAATGGCTGGTGAGAGAGGGAGAATCATTTTTCTCCAAGGATGAGCCCCCTGACAGGTTATTCAATCCCAAGTGGTCAGCCTTAAACATATGTATATACTAGCAACACTAAATAAATTTAGTAAGTTTATATATATATAAAACAATAATACTAGACAGTTTAAATTCAAGAGAGAACGGGTGGCATGAGAGGCGTTGGAGTGGGGAGAGGCAGAGGTGGAAATGTTGCAAACACAGTATTCATGTATGATGTTCTCAAAAAATTTAAAATAAAAATTAGCAGTTTTTGCAATGCTTTGATGGAAAGATGTTAGATCATGATTAAATTTAGATCACTTTCACTTTTTTCAACTTTTTCTTTTTGAGACAGGATCTCCCTGTAGCCCAAGCTGGCCTGAAACTTGCTATGTAACTTGCTAGGCTGGCCACACTTTCACAGAGATTCACCGACCTCTGCCTCCAGAGTGCTGGGACTGAATGCCTGTGCCACCATGCCTGAATAGATTACTTTTATAATGTGAGAGCCATAATTTCATTGCTAATAGGAAATCCATCCTGTTGCATAAATGATTAAATTAAATATATTGTTAATATATTTGAGATAGCTGAAAAATTATAATTTTCAGGTTATGTCACCTGTGATCAATAATTAATACTTATCAAAACATTATATATATATTGGCCTTTTTGAGACAGGGTCTCCCTGTAGCCCCAGCTGTCCTAGAACTCACTATGTAGACCAGGCTGGCCTTGAACTCACAGAGATCCACCTGCCTCTGCCTCCTCCCAAGTGCTGGGATTAAAGGCGTGAGCCACACGCCTAGCTAAAACCTATGTATTTTTTAATTTTGTCTTTTAATTGAAATATAGTTTTGACTTGAGAACAAATAATTATTTCTGTTTTGATTTTTTTAAAGTCATAGCATCTTTTCCCGATAATAGGAAAGATATCCACATTCAGACAACTGTAAAAAGGGATCATATGTGTCCTCAGGGATTATCACAGTGCCTGGTACAGTGCATATTAAAATTAACTTTGAATAAACACATATGTAAATAAGGTCAGAATGTCATTACCCTAAAATTAATGGTAAAGCCATTATGAAAATGTTTTAAAATTAATGTTTGTTTAAGGGATATAAAAGTTCATCACGGTGTTAAAGACTGTAAAAATATACCTTGGTTTAGAAAATAAGAAATAATTCTGAAAGAAATGTCAATTTCCTAATAATTTGGCATATTTTTTAAAATTTTATTTATTATTTTTATTTTATGTGTATGCGTGTATTGCCTGCATGCAGTTAAGTGCACCTGTGACATGCAATGCCCACAGAGGTCAGAAGAGTCTGTTAGGTCCCCTAGAACTGGAGTTATGGACAGTTGTTAGCTGCCATGTGGGTGCTGGGATTTGAACCTGGGTCTTCTGCAAGAATAACCAGTGTTCTTAACCGCTGAGCCATCTCTCCCGGCCCAACTTGTCATATTTTTATATCACAACCTCAATTTGGTTCAAATATACATTTTCCTAGCAAATTTTAGT